GTAAGAACCACATCTGAAGAAGTGAGGTTCTTACCCACGAAAGCTTAGGCTCCCAATACTTCTGTTAGTCTTAAAGGTGCCACAGGACCCTCTGTTGCTTTTTACAGATTCAGACTAACACGGCTACCCCTCTGATACTTTACAATATTTATATTATAATTTATTTTATAATTATATGGTAAAAATGTGAAAGCAATTTTTCAGTAATAGAGTGCTGGAACACTGTATTTTTATGTCTGACTTTGTAAGCAACTAGTTTTTATGTGAGGTGTAACTTGAGGGTATGCAAGACAAATCAGAGTCCTGAAAGGGGCACAGTAGTCTGGAAAGGTTGAGAGCCACTGCTCTAAGCAAGGCCAAACTGGCAATCCAAAAACCGCTACCACCTCTCCTGGCATATACTACCAGTGAAATGGGACTAATGGGCTTTGTTCTTTCCTTTCAAGCATCACAGCCAAGATGACAGAGTAAGTGGGCTGTCACTCTGTTCCTTTGTGGCCACTCCTTTTTAAAGTAAAAATAGGTGTGGGTTGAAGTCTAAACCTGTAACCAGATCCAAATCCAGGCTTTTTGGGAGGCTTGGATTTGGGATGACTTGTATCCAGCCCACTCTTTACACGGTTCAAGCTGTTTTGTTTTATTATGTAACCCTTTATGCTAAGATCAATTTGCTGTCAGTGATCTGACCTCTCTACGGGAATGTACCCTCCTGCTGTGGCAGGGTTTTCCCATCTCTCTTCCAGGAACTTACTTGGCTGCTTGACAGGTTTTGCATCCCCTGTGACTTGTTTGCTTGTTTATTTGGATCATAAGGTCCTCATGCTGGGCACCTGGATTTATGTATTTGTAATGCACTTAGCATGCTTGGTGTATCTGTAACTCCTAAGATCCACAGATCATTGCTAGAACCCTGAAGGTAATATCAACAATAGGGAGCAAGATTCAAAATAGCTGTGTTATAAATAGACAGCCCCTTACACTAAGGGACTTGCATTAGCTGCTACTTAATGAGCTGCAGGAAGGAACTCAAGCAGCTACGAGCTGTGCCATAGTACTATGTAACAGGTGGAGAACGGATTCTTACAAGGCTTAACTGCAGCAGTGTAATGCTACTTGCCTGGTGTACAAAACCTCATGCTCTTTTCTAGCTCTACCTGCTTCATCACACTGAGTGTCTTGAAGGAAGGAACAAACCTGTGCCTGCTGTACATGGTGTAATAAAAACTCATAACAGAATGGAACAAATGGAGGCATTAACACCAAATGGTGGTTAACCCGCTGGGCTTTATGAAGAATTACGTACTCTGTGTGTCTGTCTGTCAAATGCAATGCAATTATCGCTATGCGTGGTAAATAGAAGCTTTAGGACTGCTTTTGAATTGGAAAGTTGCTACGTTCCTTTTTTGTAAAAACAAACCTAACGTTTCGGACAAGGCTACTGGTGTCGTGTTCAAGGGAACTACATGTGGGGATGAAAATCTTTTTGTAGTGAGGGATGGTGCGTTTTTAAATTGTGACCTCAAAATAATAAATAAAGCACAGATCCAGCTCAGGAAGGCTCCTGCTACAAGACATTCCTGGCATGGCCCATAGTAATGTGTGATTTTAGTATAGCTAAAGGGTTTGGGTTCCTCTACAACTGCTGTGCTTTTTCCCAGGGCTTAAACACAGCTTGTGCTATACAATCTTTATGCTTTTCTGCAACCTCCTTAACTAAAACCTTCCACTTAATGGGGCTGAGGGGGTCATTTTAAGTAATGTAATAATCTCTGAATAATATCCTAGGTTGGGATGCCTATTGCATACCCGGCAGTTACACGTGGTGTTTATTTCAGTGGATTGTGGCGAGAATGTCGAAACAGCTGCAAAACCATTCCTAGGTTCAGAAACTTGAATTCTAGCAGAACTGGCCAGTTCAGATGTGCTGAGAAAGAACATTTAATTAAAGTCTGTTTTTTGCTTTTCAGCGTACCTAACTAAAAGACACACAAAATAAGGGGAAAAAATTGAGCTGTGCTCAGCACACAGCTGATATCTTTCCCCCCGGCAGAATCCAGTTAGTAGCTAATCTTGGTTGCACTAGAGCAAAGGCAGCTTAGCGGGATCGAAATTTCTTCTGCTAATGCTGCTGTTAATTGGTTTTTAGTGTGCCTGACAGGGGTTCAGCAGGGCTTGATTTCACTAGCAAATATTGCTGTTCAAAAAGGTAGAGGGTCCCTCCCAGGTGGGCATCAGCTCCTGTGAAGGGAAGGCCCATTACTTGCAACAAAGCAATTAGATCATTAGGCCTGTTTGATCATCTTGGTTAAGATGAAGCAATTTTTAAGAAAATTAATTAATAATACCACCTGTGTTGGGATCGTGACTCTGTTTAGATGCCAGAGGAATACAAGTTCTGAAATTTCTACTTACATCTGGATAATAGTCCATGGTGGGCACCAGGCGCTCTATCAGGGCCTCCAGTGATCCAGAGACGAGATTCCCATCCTGGTAAACAGGATCTCCACACCTCTCGCCCATGTCTGGCTGCACCTGCCCACTACAACTGGAACCGAGCATGCTGGAAAATATTGGTGTCTGGGGCATAGTTTCCTGCAGGATTGAAGGAAGAAAGAAGGAGGGTTCAGGTTTCTTTGCAGATCTCTACTGTGAGTCTTCATGGCTTTTGCAAAGGCATAAATTAGACACAGATTACATATTGGAGTGAACACAGCATGGGCATTGGGGGAGGGAGATGTGAGCCCAAACTCCCACAGACCTGCAGATGGCATTTAGTTTTGAAATTACATGCAACCTATGTTCCTAATTTCTTCACTGTGTAGTTGCTGTCAGGATGTCCCCCCTCCCGCCTGCCCCCCCACTACAAATAAGACTATAGAGATATCAGCACAAAATACCATGTAAATTGAAGGAGCAATCTCGCACATAGATAACAAATCGTGACCTATTCTACAAACAACCACATTACATGGGCATAGTGTCCTTGTTTAATGTTCTGGGGGGAGGTCTTTTAGAGAAAATACTAAACCCTGCTGGATATGTGGCGATAAACCCTCCAGTAATAATCTCTCTTGCTAGGTCTAGCCCAGATAGTGACAGAAGTGCATTTTGTCTTGCACGTACTTGGACACATGGACTGCACTGCCAATGATTCGGGATGTACCACCTGAACAAGAATGTCCTGTTGTCTAGCATTTGACCGTATGAGTTGGGTGAGCTTGAACAAACACTCCAATATTTGTGCCTGATCTCTTAGGAGACTGTTTTATCTTGAAAACATAAAGCAAAGCAAATAAGCTCTTTTCTCTTGACCAGAAGCTACAGTATGTTGTAGTTACCATGTGCAAATAAGTCTTGACGTGCAAAAAAACCCAAACAAACCTGACTACAACTTAAATTTACATTGAAGACAAAACAAAGCATGTTACTGAAATATGCAAAGGTTCACATTCCCTATAGTTAAGGCTATGATTTTGTCACAGAGGACGCAGAAGTCAAGGAATCCGTGACTTCCAAAGACCTCTGTGACATCAGCCCCTGCGGCAGGGAGCTGTGAGGTACCCCCACCGTCTGAGGCAGCGGGCCCCCAAGCTCTGACCTGCCATGGGCAGCGGGGGTATCTTGCAGCTTCCAGCTACCACAGGCAAAAGGGTTACCCAGCAGCTCCTGGACACCGGAGGGGACGGAGGATCCTGGCAGCTCCCCGGCCACCACAGGGTGGGGTGAGGTAGGGGGACCCCCATAGTTCCCCAGCTGCTGCTATGTGGCGGGGAGACCCTGGCAGCTCCCTGGTGTGGTGGCTGCTGCAAGGGGACCCCCATAGCGCCCCAGCTGCCACAGCAGGCCAGGGGGATCCCCACAGCACCCCACTGTGGTGGCAGAGGGATTCACGCAGCTCCCCTCCATTGTGGGGGGGCAGGGGATCCTCTGGAGCCCTCGGCTGCCATGGGGGCAGCGGGGCAACTTCCGCAGCTCCCCACTGCGGCAGCAGAGGGATTCACACAGCTCCCCACTGCTGGGGAGGTGGGTAGAGGGACCCCACAGCTCCCCTCTGCAATGGGAGGGCAGGGGGACACTGGAGCTCTGGTGGTGGGGGTCCCAGACCTCCCAGCCATCCGCAGCTGCCCAGCCCCTTCCCATTTTATCATGGATATTTTTCGTAAAAGTCACGGACAGGTCATGGGCAATAAAGAAAAATTAATGGAAGCCCGTGACCTGTCCCTGACTTTTACGAAAAATATCCATGACAAAATATTAGCCTTACCTACAATGCCAAAGCAAATACCTGTGTGGAAGAATAATACTTTTCCTGTCAGGATCTTTCTCAATAGCTATTGTTTACTATATTGAGCCTTAAAGGGCCACTGTCAAGGTTGATAAGGCCTTAGGGGAGGTGGAGTTCTGTTCCTACTCTGCTATTAACTCATGTAACCTTGGGCTAGTCCTGTCACACCTTGCCTCAGTTTCCCCATTTGTGAATTGGAGAGACTGTCCCACCTTTGTGAAGAACTTTTATGGGTGAAAGGTGGTAGGAATATTGTTAAAACTGATCTGAAAATGACAGTTGTTCCATGTTCCAGATTTTCTCTTAGACACCAGTTGAATGTCTTCCCCCTCTGCCTCTCTTTACCCATGTTGCAAGGGCTGGTTCAAAAACTGAAAGCCATATTTATCTTAAGGATTTTTAATGAGCTCTTGCAACAACATGACATAACTGCTCAGGCAGGTCAAGTCAGCATTTAAGCCCTATACATGTTAGTTTCCTTTTAACAGGTCTTGTAAAATTGTCAATATTTACTAGCCCAGGCAGAAAATATTTATCCCTAGTTTTACTAAGATGGTGATTTTGGGTGGGGAGTGGAGAACGAAAAGAAGGGGTGAAATCCCAATGTTACTAGTACTTATCCATGAAAACAAGAGTTACTCATCATAAGCAAGCTGGTGAATAGAATTGTGCTTGGCTGCTTTAACCAGGACGCCTTTCTATCTGTGCCAACACACAATAAATATATTAACTGATCTGAAACTACCTGTGGCTGAAAACATGGCAGCTATTCAACTATGAACATCAGCACTACCCTACAGTTCAGGACACTTCCAGTGTTTGGTTGCTTGAAATTGCAAATAAGCGCCTGATTTAAAAACAAAATGCACAGGATCTCATGGCATACACTTCTCACTAACGTGTCAAAGTATTTCAGCAATTTAGTCACAAGGCATGTGCTCTGGAGCACGTGAGAGCTGGACAAATGACTATTTCCTTGGGAGTGTGTGACGAAGAAGCCAGCTTAGCTATGCATATTATGTAAGTTGTCAGTAATTTGTTTTTTCCTTTTAAGGCCCACAGCAATAGCTTTGATCGACTCACTCAGAGTGCACTAATGTACGGTATGTTCTATCGGGCTAATAATGGCATGGAGGTGCATGTCCAGCTTTGCAAAGGGACGCTAACTGCTAATGAAGCAATCAGCAATAAAGCAGCTGGAGGGAGGGGAAGCATTCTTATGAATCGTTTCTAGAACCTGTTCAAAATTGTGTGTGTGAAGATCTTTTTGGAAGGAGGACTAAGATTTTTTTCTTTATTGGAATGGAACTGCAGATAAATTTTAAGCTCTGCCTTCCTAGTAGGTAAAAGAGTAGTTTGTAGCTAGCAGCTCTCATGCTTGTTGAAACTTCCCAGAAACAATAAATGACTTTAAGCAAATGAATCAAGCTGCATTGTCACTTCTCTAACACTGCTCTTGCGACTGCACTCTGGAAAAACAAATCTCTCTGTGGGACGTGTTGCTGCACATTACTTAGTATTACATGCTAGTTAAACGTACTTTGTTTGAAGACATGGGCAAAGCATTTGTTTTTCCTCAGGCTTGAATGAACCAGAACTCTGTGAAAGTTCACCGTAAGCAAAATATCCCCACAAAATTCAATATAGAACCTAAATATTGTGTATAAGAACTACCTACTGGTACTAAAATAAGACCACTTGGCTGCACTGGAGGCAGGCAGGGTTCAAAAGAAGCCCATCAGCTTTAAAAGTTCACTGAATCTATTATTACATAAATTATTAAATGTATCAGTACTTCAGTGCTTCCAGGGTATCTCCCATGGATGCAGAAGGAAGTGCAACAAATACAACCTGAGTGCCTTTTTGGTTTGCCAAGAAAGTGGACATTTAAATCCTGAAGTGGCAGTATTCGTCTTTCATGCCAAGTACAAAACCCACCTGCAATCACCAGTCTCCCAACAAATAAAACAGCAGCACTCCTCCCTGGTAGGTTTGTCTGTGACTAATGCAGACACACAGCCAAAGGAATATAACTGTTGACATCCATCTATATCAATCCAAGCAAATGTTTTCACAAGCAGAACATGCTCAAAGGAGCTGTGCTCACTACAGCTGGGGTATACATTTCTTTTTCAACAGCAGACAGTAAACCAAACCATTCAATATTGCTGAACTTATAAAACTTAACCATTCCAGAGTGAGCAAATGAATCCCATTCAAATTAAAACAATATTTTTTGCTAACAGAACAAAGACAATTTAAAAGATTATGGGGCAGATTCTGATCTCAGTGATGTTGATGCACAGCAGGAATGATTCCCTTAAAATCAGAGGAGTAGCTGAAGTCATCTTCTAGTATTAATCTGATCAAAATTTAGCTTTGCCATTAACGTATGTGCATGTATAAACACACATACCATTACCATATATACATTAACAAAAATCAGTCTACCTATAACTGAAAATCTTGAACTCTTACCCTCATTTTTTTCTGTAATATGTACATAAGCTGTGGCGGTCTGTAAGATCCCGATGGCTTTCCCAGAGTATAAAAGTCTCAGCCAGCCATTGCAGCTCCAACCTGCCAGAAAAAAATCTCTCTGGCTTCAGCTTTCCTTCCCGCCAGCTTAGATCTAAACAGCCTCAGGTTCATCTGAGCAAAACCAGAAAGCTCACAGCTTTCCAGGCTGGCTCTGACGTCAGCCCCTGGCTCAGCTTTCTGTTGGCTGAGAGAGAGCTTGTCCAATTCAAAAGAAGCTGAGTTTACTAGGGCTGGCTTTTGTGTGTTCACTGTACAAGCGTTGAAAGAAAAGCCCACCCTCCGCTTTCCTTTATAGAAGCTTTAACACATCCAACAGGTTAGACCACTTAGTACCTTTTCCCTCCCACCTCTTTTCTCCTTCAGAAACTTAAGAGGCCTGGAAGAACAACAATACTTCAGCCTCTTTTATACGGACTGAAAACAACCACCATATGCTCTGTGTGGTGATGCTCTCTAGTTTGGGGCTGCCACGGGGAAGACCAGATAACTGAGCAAAGCACAAGTGTGGCAGATGGAGTTAGTGCATTTCTGACTTGTGGCATTGTGCTAGCCAAACAAAACTGCTGATTCATTTCTTTGCTCTCGATATAAAAAGATGTGGCTTCTTTGGGGCAGGAAGCGGTGCCCACAATCAACATCTGGATGATATTCAAAAGCAAGCCCTAGCAACGGGCAGACCCATGGCATGGGATATTCAGCAGCACCCAGCCTTGGCCTAATTCTCTTCCCAGTGCCGTCAATGGGGGTTTTACCATCAACTTCAAAGGAAGCAGAGTCGGGCCAGTCCTGACAGCTGTTTAAAAAATCCATCCCTTGAGATTTCAAGGTTCAGATGATCATTTCCCTCCCCCTGCCAACTATTTCAATGCAGATCTGAAATTTGTCACCTCTGATGGGATGGTGTTTTGGGAAAATGCACATAGGGGGTGGGCAGGGAGGCAGTGGCCAATCTTCTGTATAACCACTGCAATCTCTCTCTCTGAAAAACACTCACTTATGGTCTCTTTCCAATACTAATTGGAATATTGGCACTGCTGTCCTAAACTTCAAAACTGTAAATGGCAGCTTGAGTCTGCCTGTGCCAGCTCCAGCCCCACGTTTAGGGAAACCTAGAATCATAAAAAATGTAGGGCTGAAGTGGACCTCGAGAAATCATCTAGGCCAGCCTGCTGTGCCGAGGCAGCACCGAGTAAACCTAGACCATCCCTGACAGATGTTTCTCCAACCTGTTTTTAAAAACCTCCAATGACTGGGATTGCACAACCTTCCTTGGAAGCCTAGTCCACAGCTTACCTATCCTTATAGTTAGAAAGTTTTTCTTAATAGCTAACCAAATCTCCCTTGCTGCAGATTAAGCCCAGTACCTCTTGTCCTAGGTTCAGTGGACATGGAGAACATTTGATCGCTGTCCTCTTTATAACATGCTGGGAGACTGTTAAACTGGTTAAAAGGCAGGGAAAAAAGGGTAGAAATAAATGGTCAGTTTTCAGAATGGAGAGTGGTAAATAGCGGTGTCCCCCAGGGATCTGTACTCAGACCAGTGCTGTTCCACATATTCATAAATGATCTGGATAAAGGGGTAAACAGTGAGGTGGCAAAATTTGCAGAAGATATAAAATTACTCAAGCTAGTTAAGTCCAAAACAGACTGAGAGTTACAAAGGGATCTCACAAAACTGGGCGAGATCAAATGGCAGATCAAATTCAATGTTGATAAATGCAACGTAATGCACACTGGAAAGCATAATCCCAATTATACATACAAAATGATGGGATCTAAATTAGCTGTTACCACTCAAGAAAGAGATCTTGGAGTCATTGTGGATAGTTCTCTAAAAAAATCCTCTCTATGTGCAGTGTTATTCAAAAAAGCTAATAGAATGTTAGGAACCATTAGGAAAGCAACAGATAATGCAGAAAATATCATAATGCCACTATATAAATCCACAGTATGCCCACACCTTGAATACGATGTGCAGTTCTGGTTTTCCCATCTCAAAAAAGGTATATTAGAAATGGAAAAGGTACAGAGAAGGCCAAAAAAAAAAAATTAAGGATATGAAACAGAGTATGCATCTGTATGAGGAGAGATTAAAATGATTTGGGACTGTTCATCTTGGAAAAGAGACAGCTAAATGGGGATATGATAGAGGTATATAAAATCATGAATGGTGAGGAGAAAGTGTATAAGGAAGTGTTGTTTACCCCTTCACATAACACAAGGACACAATTAAATAGGCAGCAAGTTTAAAACAAACAAAATAAAATACTTCTTCACACAACACACAGTCAAGCTATGGAACTCGTTGCCAGGGGCTGTGGTGAAAGCCAAAACTATAACAGGGTTCAAAAAAGAACTAGATAAGTTCATGGAGGATAGGTCCATCAATGGCTAAGATGGTCAGGGATGCAATCCCATGCTCTGAGTGTCCCTAAGCCTCTGACTTGCAGAAGCTGGGGCTGTACAATAGGGGAAGTATCAGTTGATGATTGCCTTGTTCTTTTCATTCCCTTTGACACATGTGGCATTGGCCATTATTGGAGCACAGGATACTGGACTCTATAGACCATTGATTTGATCCAGTATAGCCATTCTTATGTTCTGTTATCAGGTTAAGGCCTGTGTTAAAAGTACGGTGATCAATTGGTATAAAGTGATGCAATTAGAAAGTACAGCTCCAACCTACTTGTGAGGATTCAGCATTGTCTTCTGGTAATGTGGGGAAAGAAAGTAATAGTGCATCAGAATTAAGAGGAGACCCTCCCTCCTAAGTTGTTTGAGTGTGTCATAGTGACCAAAATAATTGTCCCCCCTCCGCCGCCCCAGTTAAAAGAAAGAGGGATAGCTGAGTTGGACTGCAAACAGGGATACAGAAAAGTATTTGGCTTTGCTGGCTGGTCTGCAACATCCTCTCTATTTGTCAGGTTTTATGCTTCCCATTCCAAATATTTTTGCTGTGTGACTGTTTTGGACATGCACTTTTATCCTCCTGTTGAGCATCGGGCATAAATTGCTGCCAAGAGCAGGATATAAGAAGTACATGGACCAACAAAGAGCAGTCGAATGTTTTCCAAGGGAAATAATTTCTAAGTATGAACCCTCATTGAAGAATCAGTTCAATAGTTAGAGCTACACCCAGTAGTACTAACAAAATCAAAAAGTGAATGCACAAGACGTTTTTTTTTTCAAACCACGCTTTTATCCTATGTTAATCCATTCTCCCTTCCTGTGCAAAAGGATGTTGAGACCAAGTACAGTGCTTGCCAGTTAGAGTTAGCAAAATGCACCAAGTTAATTAAGCTCCAACAAAAGATTCAGCTTCAATTAATGTTAAAAGCGACTCAGGCTTGCTAATAACACGAGAGATGTGATCAGATCCGGGCTGGAAGGTGGGTAGGTCTCTCATCAATAAGGGGCATTGTGCCTCATTGAGGGCAGTGCACAGCTATACAGCCCCAAAGGTATGTGTCCCAGGCATTGCGCCTTTTGGAGCTTTCCATTGTGCAGGGGGAGGACAGTCACTGCCCCAGTACTACATGAGCACTGAGAGGAAGGGGAAGATCTCCCCTCATTTGGGGTGCCTAATGATACTAGCTTCACCTTTGCTCTCTGAGTGCAAGGACTCTGTGCTTGGCCCCTGCATGGGTATGCTAGGGGAGGCAGCTGCTCTGGCCTCCTCTCCCCCCGGCACCCCACCAACATGCATACCCTTGCAGGAGCCAGGTGACATCTGGCCCTAGATGCATAAAACATTCAAGGCAAAATGAGAGCTGGCTTCCAACAAGGGACAGTAGCTGAGGCATGGTGGTCTGTACTGTATTGGGTCTTACTCTGTGCTCATCCCCATAGTATCTGAGCACCTTCTCACAAGCTAAATATGAGTCAATAGTATAACACTCCTGCAAAAACACCAAACATTGTTCTGGAATGTATTAGCAGGAGTGTTGTAAGCAAGACACTAGAAGTAATTCTTCCATGCTACTCTGCGCTGATAAGGCCTCAACTGGAGTATTGTGTCCAGTTCTGGGCACCGCATTTCATGAAAGATGTGGACAAATTTGGAGAAAGTCCAGAGGAGAGCAACAAAAACGATTAAAGGCCTAGAAAACATGACTTATGAGGAAAGATTGAAAAAACTGGCTTTGAAATCCTTTCCAGTCTTACACTTGGATGATTCTATGCATTAAGCAAGGTAACTAACATCTGTCACATGTTGGTGCTCTTGTCCTCTCCCCAGGGGGGACATGTGTGGAGTGGAATGTTTGACTTGGAATCTTGTTTTAATATACATGTGTGCAAACACATTGCTATGTATGTGTTTAGAGAAGCCAAGGTAGAAGAAATGCACCTTGCATTTAAAGTAGAAGGTGGTGAGGTTTGTGATGGTTCTTAGAACCTCATTTCACAGTCTTGGGGTGGCAAGCGAGGAATCTATGTTTCCAGGCAACAATTGTATTGGGAGATAGGAGACCTGGGTTCTATTAGCAGCCCAGCCACTGACCTACTTTGTCCTCTTGGGTAAGTTGCTTCATCCCTCTTTGTAAAATGTGGGTGAGGACACTTACCAGCCTGTATACAGCATTTGTGACCTGCAGATGTAAAAGGCTAGCTAATGCCTAAGTATAATTGTTATTACAGCCATCTTGTTCCTGAACAACCTATAAACTTCTTTAAATATGTGTTTCCTAGTAATTGCATCTTGATACTGGTGGCCAGACATGAGAGCAAGGTTGACCAAGAAAGTGGCAGCTAGATTTGTTCTGTGCATGTCCTGCATGTTACCAAAAAGGGGACTTGAAACAGACCCTTCATTTTCTACCAAGCAAGTAAAAGAGGAGCCTCCTGCCTCTGGGTGAGTCAGTAGGAGTGACTCTCTCAGTCAGAAGATACTTTCAGACTATTTTATGCTGGCTAATTTCAAAGTGTACAAGGAACACAAGTGTTAAGAGGAAGGCTGACCTTGTCACGGAGGCACTGCATTGGGACTCATGGGACCTGGGTTCATTTCCTGACACTGCCACATACTTCCTGTGAAAGACGCTTAATTTCTCCGTGCCTCAGTTTCCCACTTGTG